GTTGGGAAAAGAGTGTCTGTACAGCTGGGTATAGAGCTTAGATCATCCACAAGTACGAAGTTTGTTTTTAAAAGACATGATACATAGAGTACACAATCAGCAATAACCCAATTTCTGTGAATAGATTCAGCAGTACAGTTTAGATATCAGAAGCTGAATACTCAGGTACATCACTCATGAAAAGTTGTACAGGGATTTGGTTGTGGAAAGCAAAATATATCAATGAGTGGAGATTGTCCCTCAGTAAACACAATTAATATTAACAACTAGGAGGAAGGAATACAAGCCAAAATAGGGAAAGAAAGGTTAAAGATATTAGGTAAGTTAGATGTATTCAAATCAGCAGGGCCTGATGAAAGTCACCCTAGGGTACTTCAGGAAGTAGCTGAAGCAATCTTGGAACTGTTCGCAATTATCTGTGAGAACTGGAGGATGGGAAAAGATCCAAAGAACTGAAGAAGGGCAGACATAGTATCTCTCTTTGCAAAGGGGAACAAGGAGGACCCAGGGAATTATAGACCAGTCAGCCGAACTTCAGTACCTGGAAAGATACTTGAGCAAATGGTTAAACAATGAATTTAGAAGCATCCAGAGGACAAGAGGGTTATAAGGAATAGTTAGCATGGCTTTGTCATGAACAAATCATGCCAAACCAACTTAATTTCCTTCTTTGGCAGGGTTACTGATCTGGTGGATGGGGAGAAGCAGTGGATGTGATATACCTTGATTTCAGGAAGGCTTTTGACACAGTCCCACATGACATTCTCATAAGCAAACTAGGGAAATGTGGTCTAGAATGATGAAATGACTATAAGGGGGGTGCACAACTGGTTGAAATATGTACTCAAAGAGTAGTTACTAACGGTTTTCTGTCATAGTGGGAGGGTTATCTAGTGGGGTCCCACAGGACTCAAGCCTGGATCCAGTACTATTCAATATTTTCATTACTTGGATAAGAGAGTGGAGAGTATGCTTATAAAATCTGAGATGACACTGAGCTGGGAAAGGATCCAAGCTCCTTGGAGGACAGGTTTAAAATTCAAAATGGCCTTGACAAATTGGAGAACTGGTCTGAATTCAACAAGACGAAATTCAATAAAGACAAGTGTAAAGTTTTACACTTAGGAAGAAGAAATAAAATGCACAACCACATAATGGGGAATAACTGGCTGGGCGGTCGTGCTGCTAAAAAAGTCCTGGGGGTTATGGTGGATCACAAACTGAATATGGCTCGTCAATGTGATGCAGCTGCAAAAAAGGCTAATATGATTCTGGGGTGTATTAACAGGAGTGTCATATATCAGACACGGGAGGTAATTGTCCTGCTCTACTCGGCACGGGAGGCCCCAGCTGGAGTATTGTGTCCAATTCTGGGTGCCACAATTTAGGAAAGAGGTGGACAAATTGGAAAGAGTCCAGAGGAGAGCAACAAAAATGATAAAAGGTTTAGAAAACCTGACCTATGTGGAAAGGGCATGTTTAGTCTTGAGAAAAGAAGACCGAGGGCAGACCTGGGAACAGTCTGTGTTAAGGGCTGTTAGATAAGAGGATGGGGATCAATTGTTCTCTCTGTCCACTGAAGGTAGGACAAGACATAATGGGCTTAATCTTCAGCAAGGGAGATTTAGGGCAGGTATTCAGGAAAAGCTTTCTAGGGGCCATGTAGTAATTGTTGTCAGAAGGGGGTTGCAGGGCAATGAAGTTTGAGAATCCCTGGTCTAGGTTACTTGGTCCTGCCACAGCGCGGGGGGCTGGACTTGATGACTGCTTGGGGTGCCTTCCAGCCCCACATTTCGATGATGCGATGCTTGTGCTTATGAGGGGAAGCTCCCTGCAATTCTGCTGTGGCCAGGTGTTGCCCCCGGCAGCTCTGAGATGAGCCTGGCAGTGGCACACAAGCGGGGTGGGGGGATTAATTCACTGGGAAGCCCCCCGGAAAGGGGGAGAGCAGGGACAGGAGGATCCCAGCTGCGCAGCCCCCTCCTCTGCCACCAGCAGAAAGCCCAGTCCTGTTGCCCCCCTTCCCAAAAGGGGGTGGAGGTGGGTGGGTTTCCCTGCAGAGCAGG